GTACTATGGTGAGCACTGTGAATTGTGTAAGACTGATGAATCACAGATCTGTTTCCCTGAAACAAATAACACATTATATGTTAATAAAAAAATGTTAAAAATTCTAGTTAGTTAATATATAGTGTAATATTGGTCTCAGGAGTAACATTAATGATTCATAACTTACATATAACACTGAGGGCTCATCATAACAAGTGCCCTCCTTAATACCCATTTAACCCTTCCCCCACCCACATCCCTCCATCAACCCTCAGTTTGTTCTCTATCATTAAGATTCTTTTATGGCATGCTTCCTTCTCTCTTTTTTTCTCCTTTGCAAATGGTTATCTGTTTGGTTTCTTAAATACCACATATGAGTGAAATCATATGGTATTTGTCTTTCTCTAAGACAGTGCAATTGCTGGGTCATATGGTACTTCTATTCTGAACATTTTGAGGAACCTCATACTGTTTTTCCAGAGTGTCTGCACCAGTTTGCATTCCCACCAACAGTGTAAGAGGGTTCCCCTTTCTCTGCATCCTTGTCAACATCTATTATTTCCTGTGTTATTAATTTTAGCCATTCTGACAGACGTGAGGTGGTAGCTCATTGTGGTTTTGATTTGTATTTCCCTGATGATGAATGATGATGAACATCTTTTCATTTGTCTGTTAGTCATCTGCATGTCTTTTTTGGAAAAGTGTCTATTCATGATTTCTGTCTGTTTCTTAACTGGATTTTTTTTTTTTTTTGGTATGTTGAGTTTGATAAGGTCTTTGTAGATTTTGAATATAAACCCCTTATCAGATAGGTCATTTGCAAATATCTTCTCCCATTCTGTAGGTTGCCTTTAGTTTTGTTGATTGTTTCCTATGCTGTGTAGAAGCATTTTAACTTGATGAAGTCCCAACAGTTTATTTTTGCTTTTGTTTCCCCCTTCTCCAGAGGCATATCTAGTCAGAAGTTGCTACAGCCAATGTCAAAGAGGTTTCTGCCTGTGTTCTCCTCTAGGATTTTGGTTTCCTGTCTCACATTTAGGTTTTTCATCCATTTTGATTTTATTTTTGTGTGTGGTGTAAG